TGAAAAGTTGGATCACTGTCCTCTTTTCAGATCTGGGGGCAGGACAACCGTGTTGTTTTGTTTGATGTAGTGTGGGCCCTTGTCTCTGTGTTGAAGTCTAAGAGTTTATTTCCGAAACCCGCAATCTTGCCATTTGGAACACTTGCGCAAAATGTCTGAAATTGTGCGACTGAAAATTCTGATATTTTGGCAGCTTTATTGTCTCCAACAAGTCGAAATTGAGTGGGCGCAGCATGAAAAGCATAACGAAATCATAGCATCGCATCTGGCTGGAAGTGAACTCTTTCTTTGCATGTGTATGTGTTATTTATGTATGTGTTGAATTTTGAAAGATGTACATTTGTGACTGATATTAACATAGTCCTGCCTATATTTGGCAGTCTTTTTTTTCTGTCTTTTTGTCCGTGTGTCCTGTGCAGGTCCATGAGGAAGAAGATGAGGGTCGCTGGTGAAGAAGATGACGGGCAGCTTTCGTCCATTTAAAAGTTAAGTAGTTGTAAATTTGACCCCCTCTTGAACTCGGGTCTGAAAAGTTGGATCACTGTCCTCTTTTCAGATCTGGGGGCAGGACAACCGTGTTGTTTTGTTTGATGTAGTGTGGGCCCTTGTCTCTGTGTTGAAGTCTAAGAGTTTATTTCCGAAACCCGCAATCTTGCCATTTGGAACACTTGCGCAAAATGTCTGAAATTGTGCGACTGAAAATTCTGATATTTTGGCAGCTTTATTGTCTCCAACAAGTCGAAATTGAGTGGGCGCAGCATGAAAAGCATAACGAAATCATAGCATCGCGTCTGGCTGGAAGTGAACTCTTTCTTTGCATGTGTATGTGTTATTTATGTATGTGTTGAATTTTGAAAGATGTACATTTGTGACTGATATTAACATAGTCCTGCCTATATTTGGCAGTCTTTTTTTTCTGTCTTTTTGTCCGTGTGTCCTGTGCAGGTCCATGAGGAAGAAGATGAGGGTTGCTGGTGAAGAAGATGACGGGCAGCTTTCGTCGATTTAAAAGTTAAGTAGTTGTAAATTTGACCCCCTCTTGAACTCGGGTCTGAAAAGTTGGATCACTGTCCTCTTTTCAGATCTGGGGGCATGACAACCGTGTTGTTTTGTTTGATGTAGTGTGGGCACTTGTCTCTGTGTTGAAGTCTAAGAGTTGATTTCCGAAACCCGCGATCTTGCCATTTGGAACACTTGCGCAAAATGTCTGAAATTGTGCGACTGAAAATTCTGATATTTTGGGAGCTATATTGTCTCCAACAAGTCCAAATTGAGTGGGCGCAGCATGAAAAGCATAACGAAATCATAGCATCGCGTCTGGCTGGAAGTGAACTCTTTCTTTGCATGTGTATGTGTTATTGATGTATGTGTTGAATTTTGAAAGATGTACATTTGTGACTGATATTAACATAGTCCTGCCTATATTTGGCAGTCTTTTTTTCTGTCTTTTTGTCCGTGTGTCCTGTGCAGGTCCATGAGGAAGAAGATGAGGGTCGCTGGTGAAGAAGATGACGGGCAGCTTTCGTCGATTTAAAAGTTAAGTAGTTGTAAATTTTACCCCCTCTTGAACTCGGGTCTGAAAAGTTGGATCACTGTCCTCTTTTCAGATCTGGGGGCAGGAAAACCGTGTTGTTTTGTTTGATGTAGTGTGGGCCCTTGTCTCTGTGTTGAAGTCTAAGAGTTTATTTCCGAAACCCGCGATCTTGCCATTTGGAACACTTGCGCAAAATGTCTGAAATTGTGCGACTGAAAATTCTGATATTTTGGCAGCTTTATTGTCTCCAACAAGTCGAAATTGAGTGGGCGCAGCATGAAAAGCATAACGAAATCATAGCATCGCGTCTGGCTGGAAGTGAACTCTTTCTTTGCATGTGTATGTGTTATTGATGTATGTGTTGAATTTTGAAAGATGTACATTTGTGACTGATATTAACATAGTCCTGCCTATATTTGGCAGTCTTTTTTTTCTGTCTTTTTGTCCGTGTGTCCTGTGCAGGTCCATGAGGAAGAAGATGAGGGTCGCTGGTGAAGAAGATGACGGGCAGCTTTCGTCGATTTAAAAGTTAAGTAGTTGTAAATTTGACCCCCTCTTGAACTCGGGTCTGAAAAGTTGGATCACTGTCCTCTTTTCAGATCTGGGGGCATGACAACCGTGTTGTTTTGTTTGATGTAGTGTGGGCACTTGTCTCTGTGTTGAAGTCTAAGAGTTGATTTCCGAAACCCGCGATCTTGCCATTTGGAACACTTGCGCAAAATGTCTGAAATTGTGCGACTGAAAATTCTGATATTTTGGCAGCTATATTGTCTCCAAAAAGTCCAAATTGAGTGGGCGCAGCATGAAAAGCATAACGAAATCATAGCATCGCGTCTGGCTGGAAGTGAACTCTTTCTTTGCATGTGTATGTGTTATTGATGTATGTGTTGAATTTTGAAAGATGTACATTTGTGACTGATATTAACATAGTCCTGCCTATATTTGGCAGTCTTTTTTTCTGTCTTTTTGTCCGTGTGTCCTGTGCAGGTCCATGAGGAAGAAGATGAGGGTCGCTGGTGAAGAAGATGACGGGCAGCTTTCGTCGATTTAAAAGTTAAGTAGTTGTAAATTTTACCCCCTCTTGAACTCGGGTCTGAAAAGTTGGATCACTGTCCTCTTTTCAGATCTGGGGGCAGGAAAACCGTGTTGTTTTGTTTGATGTAGTGTGGGCCCTTGTCTCTGTGTTGAAGTCTAGGAGTTTATTTCTGAAACCCGCGATCTTGCCATTTGGAACACTTGCGCAAAAAGTCTGAAATTGTGCGACTGAATATTCTGATATTTTGGCAGCTTTATTGTCTCCAACAAGTGGAAATTGAGTGGGCGCAGCATGAAAAGCATAACGAAATCATAGCATCGCGTCTGGCTGGAAGTGAACTCTTTCTTTGCATGTGTATGTGTTATTGATGTATGTGTTGAATTTTGAAAGATGTACATTTGTGACTGATATTAACATAGTCCTGCCTATATTTGGCAGTCTTTTTTTTCTGTCTTTTTGTCCGTGTGTCCTGTGCAGGTCCATGAGGAAGAAGATGAGGGTCGCTGGTGAAGAAGATGACGGGCAGCTTTCGTCCATTTAAAAGTTAAGTAGTTGTAAATTTTACCCCCTCTTGAACTCGGGTCTGAAAAGTTGGATCACTGTCCTCTGTTCAGATCTGGGGGCAGGAAAACCGTGTTGTTTTGTTTGATGTAGTGTGGGCCCTTGTCTCTGTGTTGAAGTCTAAGAGTTTATTTCCGAAACCCGCGATCTTGCCATTTGGAACACTTGCGCAAAATGTCTGAAATTGTGCGACTGAAAATTCTGATATTTTGGCAGCTTTATTGTCTCCAACAAGTGGAAATTGAGTGGGCGCAGCATGAAAAGCATAACGAAATCATAGCATCGCGTCTGGCTGGAAGTGAACTCTTTCTTTGCATGTGTATGTGTTATTGATGTATGTGTTGAATTTTGAAAGATGTACATTTGTGACTGATATTAACATAGTCCTGCCTATATTTGGCAGTCTTTTTTTTCTGTCTTTTTGTCCGTGTGTCCTGTGCAGGTCCATGAGGAAGAAGATGAGGGTCGCTGGTGAAGAAGATGACGGGCAGCTTTCGTCGATTTAAAAGTTAAGTAGTTGTAAATTTTACCCCCTCTTGAACTCAGGTCTGAAAAGTTGGATCACTGTCCTCTTTTCAGATCTGGGGGCTTGCCCTAACTGAAAAGTTAGCTTACCGCAAGCTTGCCGCAAGCTAGTATTAAGCTGGTCACTAGATTGCGAAGCTTGCCGCAAGCTTGAATGAGATTGCACGTTTGCACGCAATCTAGCTGCAAGCACATTACAAGCTTGCAAGTTTGCGGCAAGCTTGCCGTAAACTTGCGATGCTTGCACGAATGTTTGGCAAGCTTGCACATTTTATGTGGAGCTTGCCGCAAGTTTGCGCAAGTACTTGGAAGCTTGCGGCAAGCTTGCACGTGTACCTGAACGCATGCGGTAAGCTTGCACATGTACTAAAACGCTTGCGGCAAGCTTGCACATGTACTAAAACGCTTGCGGCAAGCTTGCACATGTACTAAAACGCTTGCGGCAAGCTTGCACATGTACTAAAACGCTTGCGGCAAGCTTGCACATGTACTGGAACGCTTGCAGCTATGCCTGCATGTGTACTTCCAAGCTTGCGACATGCTAGCACAAGTAGAAGAAAGCTATAACGGCAAATTTGTGCAATGTACTGATAATTTTGTTCATTTGCTGGCAAGCTGGCAGCAGGCTTATTTCATAATTTTAAATGCCTATACATATACATGTATTTGCAAGCCTGCAAATATTCTTTATAATGCTTGTTGCTTAGAGCCCCCCCCCCCATTGCAAGTGTGAATACATGCATGTACACAGTGACAAAGAAACTTGCTTGCATCATATGACTAAAAGTCAAGTGCAAAGTCATTTTAAACCAGTCATGAAGAAAGTCAGTGCAATGGATATTTTACGAGACTCATTTACAGTAGGTTTATGAATTTACTCGCAAAGGTTCTCGTAGCAATTAATGTTTTAAACCAACAAAACCAATGGGAAACTTGGCAACAAGTATAAACTTCCACAAATGTGCACTTGAATGTGCTCATTTATTGACCACATTTTTTCAAATGTATACTGGACACAAATTGATGCATATATCATTATAGGGCTAGTCAAAATGATCTGGGCCCAAATTAAAGAAACCATTAAAAACATGTAGCAATTATCAAAAGTGCATATCAAATGTTACAGGCTGGCATTTTGAACATACATGTACTTGGTGAAAATTTTATACACATCCATTGTACCATTTTTAATAAAAGCACCAGCAAAGAACACTTGCTAAAATATATACAGGACCACGGTTCCATGGTTCAGCAAATTCATTTAAATTGTGTAATTGATGTAACTGCATTTTAAACAAAGCAGTCACATCGGTGCGCGATTTCAACAAATTTGTTGAACCATGGAACTGTGGGGTCAGGGAGTTTTTAAGCATGTCCTTTGTTTTCACTTTTCTTCAAGATGGTACAATATGAAACGTTACCCAAATATGTCCAAAATACCAGCCTACAACATCTCATTTGCATTTGTTTTGATAATTGCTACTGTCACAAGTGACTGTATATATTTTCCTTAGTTTCATTTATTCATTGAATTGATTTATTTGGTTGAGTGGTTTTGAGTGTTTGTGTGTGTATGTGTGTGTGGATTCAGTGATAGGTTGTAAGTTCCAGTGATGAATATTCAGTATTGTTGAGTAAGCCATTCATGGTATGTGGGTGTGCCAAGGAAAATGCTTTGTTACCCGTGTGTGCCATTGTTAGCAGTATGAGTGATCAGTAGAGTATGAATATTTGCCAAATGCCTTCCAAAATTCCTTGCATGGGAGCGGCTTGGGGTTTTGCCTATGCTTAGCTGCTGCAGGCACTTGCTCGCCAGACACACGAGAGAGAGGACCTATTTTGTCCTGAAACTAGAATCATACAGCTAGTCTGATGTTATTGCCAGCTTTAGCCTGAACAGCCAACAATCACAGTTCTATACTGACAGTCTGTGGTCTGCATAAAAAGCTGACATTGTATGCAACTCCGAGAGAGTTTCGAAGATGCTAACTGTAAGTTTAGATTATTTTCTTTGCCCACTTTATTTCTTGTATTAATTAGAAGTGAAATTGATTTAATTGTAAAATCTGAGATTGAATTCCTTACTTGCTAAAAATGGTGCAGAATCTTAGTGGGATTTTGGCTTGTAAAACTTCTCATCTCAGATGGCACATAGAATGGGGAGATATTTCTACCGAGTAGAGTGAGCCTCGCACTACCCTGAGGAACTGAAGCTCTTGTCAAGGACCCCTACCTCTACCGGACCCCTTGGACCGGAATCTGAGTGATGCTGCATAGACAGTTGGCAGGCTGACAAGGACCTGGCGGCAATCACCTTTATGATTGTATAAAATAACTGGCGAAATACCATAACCTTGATTTGGATTTTGAATGTGAGAGTGTAAATATTTTTAAATCAACAAGATTGAAAGAAGGATTAGTAATTATTCAATTTTCCCGAAGATAATATTTGATGTGGTATTGGCAATTTAAATGAATTGAGATTAATACAGAAAGAAAAGAAGGTATGACCTAATATTGAAGAAGTGTTTGAACCGAAATTGAAGAAGTGTTTGAACCAAAATTGGAAGAAGTGTTTGAACAAAAATAAAAGAAGTGTTATTGAAAGAGTAAATTGTGATAGAAACAGAAAGGTTTCAAATTAAACAGAAGAGAAAATTGATAAACTTGAAGTGAATTACGATTTGTAATTTTGAGGTCAAATTGAAGTGGCGTGATTAATAAGTGAATCTAAGAAACAAATTGAGAATTTTTGAGATTGAACGAAGATTTTGTGATTGAAGTTTAAGAAGTGAAAGTTTGAAACTTCACGGGTTAATTGGTGATTTGAAGTTGTGAATTGTTACAAGTTGAGAATTAAGGTTATTAGAAGTAATTGTGGTGATAAAACACTAAGTGTCAAACAAGGAGTGTTTGAGTTAAAGATTCACGAAATTTGAAGGAAAGTGTAGAAATTGAAAATTGGAATATAATTAAGAGGTGAAGATTTGAGAATTGAAAATTTGAAGAATTGATAGATTTAATAGAATTGAGTGATAAATTTGACTTAAGTGATCAACCTAGATTGGACTATGCCATTTTGTGGAATTGAATAATTGAATTACGGGTACAACTCATCTAGATATCGTGAGCTATTTTACTGATTAGATTTCAGAATGCATCGATTACTGAATTTTAGAATCTCAAATAATTTTAGTGCAGCTCATGTAAAATCCTCTTTCTAATTGTGACGTCCATTTTATAACTTTAAAATTGTAAATTTGGAGACGAATACTTGAGATTTTAAAACTTGTCTGGGCCCAAATTTCCGTTCAATCATTTGAGTGTAATTTCATATCATAGTTTCTGGAATTGGTAAATTTTGATAGTGAATAAGAGACAGTTTAAGTGAATAAGTTTGAGCACCCAAGATTGAGTTGACCTTGTTTTTGTTTGTCTGTGTCCCCATGTACTTAGCGTGTTCAGTTCCCTCTAAAATAATGTCCGTAGAAAACCTCTAAGAGGTAGTGTGACAGCTACATGTTTTTAATTTTTTTCTGTAATTTGGGTCCGGATCATTTTGACTCACTGTGTACATGTACATCATGTACATGTACTAGCATTTGTTCCAACACTTCATTTTCCAATTCATTCCTAGCATACCGATTGAACTGAAGCCATTTGCAAGTTTTGTGTGTTATTGTTGACCTTAAGTGTATGATTGATGGTATGCACATGTAAACACCACAAATCATTTTACCTAAACAACCATGTTCACTGTCTAATCCCTTTCAATGGTATTGGGACACTTGGCTATATAAATTGTATCGCTATCTTGGAAGTCAACAAAAACACACAAGTTGCAGATGGCTTCAATGGGAACTGCTACAGTTATTACATTTCTTTTAAATGGAACAATATGATGTACGGTTGCAAAAGTGACGTCATCTGTGGACATTTTAGCAGTTGAGGATTCAAGCATGTCGATAAAAGCAATGTACATGCAATCAGAACATAAGCAATTTGTTTCACATGAGCAGTTTGATGAACATTTTACAAATCTGGTAACATGGCCACACTGTTCATTATTGTCATGCATAAATAACACATGTAAAAGAATTCCTTCTCACTGGAAGAGTGAATTCTTTCGAGCAAATGACTGTCATGTTTTTAGAATACGAGCAAATACAAAACATACATTCAATACAACTGAGCTACCATGACCAAGCAACTGACGCAATGCATGTTTCTCCTCTTGGTTCAATAAGTACTTCTTCAGCGTTCCCACTGTATAAGTACCTTGACATATCTTTTTCACCTTTATTCGGAAGTGAAATTTTATTTCTCATTGATAAATAAAACTTGGAAACAGGTGATCCAACTTTGAGATTTCATAAAAGATGAGGTATTTTCAAGAATGTACAAATGTTACTCGCTATCTGCAAATCAACTTTTTGTGTGCCATGAAAGAGAGATGCTAATTCACCATTTAAGGATTCGAAGGTGAAACACGAGTATACCCATAATGGTCCAAGATCTCGGACAACATCACATAAATGTAGGAGCTGGTGAATGTTAGATGTCACTTCTCTTTGCGAATAAAGTGTAGCATGCATCATACAGAAATGTTTTAGCACCAGTTCACAATGATTAACTATTTCTGGAGACACTGAATCCCCATTCAACAAGTATATGGCTTCAACCGGTAGTAAATAGTGCTGAAAGTAGACATCGGCTAATAACCCATACAATACTGGCAATGAATAGTAAAACCACCAAGATCTGCCTTCTGACGCTTTCCAGTATTTGAGGTGATCTTTGATGCTCCTAGGGGCTCTTGAAATAAAATTTGGTGGTCTTATTTGACGCAGTCTTGTATCAACTTTATCAACAAGGCTGGAAATAGAATATGGCTCACTGGATTGACTACTATCGAACCAAAGATGTAATAATCTCCTCACAATTCCCAATAAAACCTGGTGCATCCAGTCGATTGCCGTTCCGTGAATAATATCAGGCATGTTGTATAAAAACCATGACGGCCCTTTAATTCCTTAAATTGTGCGCTTGCTTTGGAATGCTTCCTCTTATGCTTAAAGAGTTTGCTCGTGTATTCTTTTAGGGCCATCAAAATCATTCATATTAGCAGGAAATACTCTAGCATGTCCCCTTCCAACATTAATAACCTCTCCTGGTTGGGTACACCTTGGACACCCATTAAGACCATTGAATTGGGTCATGTTTAGAACCATACACTTTGCAGGCATATCGCATGTACCACATAGTAAAACTCCTCGCACTTGGATTTCTTCATTATAAAAATTATGTACAGCAACTCCATCGTAAATGTTCTTTAGAGATGAATGAAATGGTTTAAGGAAAGTTCCCATGCATGGTTAGGTCTCACCATACCACAGGCCTGCAATTAACAAGTTTTCTTTGAGCAAACGTTTCTTGGGAGACAATTCATTGACCACAAAATACACAGGCCACAAAGAAAATCGAGATGACTTAAAAACTGAAAATCCATCTGTGTACCACATAAATGAAATGTTGTTCTTACTACAAAGAAATCGTCCTAGAGATGAAAGTGTTTTATAAATGCCACCATCATAAATGTCTTTCCCTCATTTTTCTTCTTCCTATGAAATCAATACTTGATGCCTTCACAGAAGTCTTTTCGTTTAAACAGATTCTCAAGCTGTGTTAGCAATGGTATTTCAATGAAATAAGAAACGGACTTCAAATCATTTGCAATAATGCTTCTACAGGATGGGCTTTCGTCTGTCACATCATCTAGAATGAAGTAGCATTTAGAACAAAATTTATGAACTTTGAGTGGCATGGACAAATTGGAAAAGTACTGGCGAAATAGATGAAGTGAAGTTCTACATAAATTTGGCTTTTGACAGTGGAGAGATACAAGTGTCAATATATCTACAAGGAAGCTGCCAGTCAAGCTGTGTCTTAATACAAGAGTAAGAATAAGCAGCATGCTTTCAGCTAATGTGATTGGTGCACCATCATACAACAAACCATCTTCAGACTCTGAGGAGTCTTCGTCAGCAAATGTGTCTCTCATTTGTGATGAAATGTCAGAGTCATTGTTCCAATCATCAGGAGTGTTGTACCATTCAGAGGATGGGTCCTCGACAGGTTCAGAAAAACCTCCAGCCTCGTACCATGTGTCCTCTTCTTGAAGATCATTGCAGGTACCCTCCTCCCATGCCTCCGGCTCCAAAGAACACCAGTTCACAGGTGGTTCCTGAAATGGCTGCGATGGCGGTTGTGCTTCAACGTCAACATCTGCAATCATTCAACAAAGGAAAAAAATATAAGATGGTTGCTGATGTCATAATGTACGACACAAGAAAGTCAGACAGAATCGCCCAATGATACTTTTTATCAGTCTTTGCAAAATGACTGCGCACGCGTAGCCATGAAAGAAAAATGAACAAGCTTTTTTAATGTAAGATGATGTCTCAAGGCCACCAAACTCACTGGTTTGCAACTTTTCCCCCAAATTTCTAAGTCCCCCCAATACTAGTCACTACGCATGTTCAGGTCAGTGCCTATCCAGAAAAAAAAAGTATCGTTAATTTTAAAAGCCGGCGCAAATTTAATATCGAGTGCCAAAACAAAATGCATTTGATCCTACTTAACTTGCTAAGTTAAGGCTTGGCTCTAGGCCTATATATGATAGCCATGACATAAATTGATATTGGGAACCGAAACAGAAGCTCGGGAACATGTTCACTCAATCATGCTCATGATGGTCATCTTGATCAATCATGGTCAAAACGCACATCATGTCATGATATGACGTGTGACGATCACAAGGGCCTACAAATTAGCCTACATGTGACATGATCATTTGTACATGGCCTAGGCTACGGTTACATATTTGTATTTTGGATGGGCAGGGGACTTCATTTCTACTATATCAAAGGGTGACTTCTCACTCGGGTACACAATTTATTGTCAGGTGTTGCAGCAAGCCAGACATTGTGTTCATTAACCACCACACCCCAGTCCATGGTTAAACATGTTTGCACATATTGAGATGGTTTTGGATCAACTTTTTCTCTAACATTTATCTTTTGGCTCCCTCTTTACCATTGCTTGCTTAACTTTCCCAAATGTGGATGCAGTCAGTCTGTGTTTGCATGCACACTTCTACAGATCACTATCAGACTGTTTTTTGTGTGGCCTGTTCTAGTGCAGTTGCCTCTGTAGATGTCAAAACAAGGCAGTAAAGGAAGCTGGGTTATTCAAGAGTCTGAGGTGGACATCCATGAGACCATGGAGCTATAAAACTCTGTGTTCTATAGCTCCATGATGAGACAGAGGAATGTTGTTGATCGTGGGGACACTAGCAGGATTTTTGACGTTATACTGGTACGACAGATTTGACTGATTTGATTTGACAAATTGTAGCGGAAGTTGTGAATTTTTTCACCTTTTCTTATTATTTTATCTTTAATCAATACCATTTAATCATCTCTAGGGTTAGAAAATATTTTATCCTCATCTCGCTTAGACCAGCTGGTGTACTTCTCGCTTACAAGTACACCAGCGTCATCCATGATCTCCTTCAGAAGGGATATGCAGATCCAGTTCCTGCAGAGGACATTGACTGAAAAGATGGCTGTGTCTGGTACCTTCCACATTGTAACGTATGCCAAAGTTGTTGCTTAGTAACTGTATATACATTGTTTCGCGTGCCATAGGGTCAAAGGTCAATAACGTGGTTCGTTACGCGTTGCGGGCTGTGCATGTAGCAGGTTCCAGAATGTTTGTGTACTTTCATGACTGCACATATGTATGGGCATACGCTCTTGCTTGGGAGGACTGAATGTCAAACTTGGCGGCGGTCAAACTAATCGACCAGATACACTGCCAGGGAAATCTGTCAATAATTGCACGATTGCGTTGTTTGATTGCTAGTTTTGGAGACATCGGAATTACAGTACATTTCTGTAGCTGTTTATGGAATGTTCATAGCTCGGCAGAGTCGTAAGTGTGTTTTTTGTGTAACTTTATTGAGTGGATTTGTAACGGTTTTTATGTAAAACGTACATGTACGTGCGTGTAGGCATATTAAAAGTGTTTACGTTTCAGATTGTACTCATTGGAATTGTAATGCTATACCGTTTCGGCACAGAAAATTAATGTTTCATGTTAGCTCAGTGGACATGTTAATGTATTCTTTATCATGTAATGTATTCTGTTTAATGTATTTTGTGTAAAAGGAGACCATTTGTTTGTTGTATTTTTCAGATTAAACCTTGATGATACTTGATACTTCAAGCTGAGGACTTGATACTTGCTTGATGACTTGATCTTGATGTCTTAACTTGATAAATCACGAGTGAATGACCAAAGAGTGAGATTCCAAAGCAGCTAGTTGAGCAGAAAATGTAACACACA